CTGTCGGGCCTATATTTTCCGCTATACCTCTAATGCGGAGGTTGTTCCTGCGGCCTCTGTCTTCCAGGTCAGCGGTTTTTCCCTCCTGCGCCTCCATTCTCTCTGTAAGGCTGTCTAGTTTTTCTGCCATGGAATTTTGGGCCTCTTCATATGCCACCATTTTGTCCTCCAGCCCTGCCGTCCTATCTCCCAGCTCTTTAACGTCTGCATTAATGGTGTGGATTGCATTTTGCAACGTGAGCTGTAACTTGCCTGCCATAGTGTCCAGCATCGCCTGCAGGATCCCCTGCGTGACCGGTAAGTTGGCAGCCGCCTGTTCTGGGGAGGGAATGAGCTCTTCCTCGCCGCCATCTTGGTTTTCGCCATGCGGTCCAGATCCTCGTGTCTGGCTCGCTTTAACTCCGAAGAAGTTAGATTTCTCTCCCCGCTCTGTCTGCCGGCGGTGTTTAGGCTGGGACATCGTGTCTCGGGTCGTGCGGTGTCGGGTCACCCACTTTGCAGCTTGTTTAGGCCGTTGCCGCACGGAGCTCCGGCTACATGCGACCGCTCGCTCCGGAGTCTAGGACACGCCCCCTCGATATTCTTTTTCTATATATTTGTCAACTCAGGCTAACTCTGATGATAGATAGCAAAGGATTTTTTTTTTCCGTTAAATTTAAACATTCTATTTCTAATGGGATATACGGTAAATGATTCCTGATGTGTATATAGGAATAAGCTAAAGCACGATATTTTAGTGTTTTATAATGTAATTTTATGAGCTATTTCTCTATGTACTGATTTAGGAGTACGAATAGGAACGTTTACTATAGTAGAGTGGGGAGTTTAACTACCATTAATGGAGAACGTGGGGCACACTATATACTAATTTCACACTGTACTAACCTTTTGATGTCACAAACTGGCCCTTTTTGTAACAAGTGACCTCCCCATAGCATAATAAATTAATAAAGCTTTATATCGGGGAGATGCACTTTTATTTTTTTTGAGATGTGATATTCCAGGGAATGGATTTTATTACAATGAGAACTATGTAAATACTTTGTGTCCTCTGTGTATCCTATATTTGACTATCACTGGACCTTCTGGCCCTGCACATACAGGGCATTCATTGAAGCATGAGATTATTAACATTTTGATGAAAATAAACCATCACAAATTACCGATCGTAGGCACAGTGTGTTTTCTGGCTGACTGTTGTGTCATCCTTGTCTCCAATAAGCCAGTGGAAGCTGCTAGCGCTCCTTCTCTGAATCTCCTTCCATTCGTCTACTGTTACGTAACCACAGGATGCATTCAGGTCCCCAAGAAGCATTACATTCTTTAATATACAATAAAATAGTGTGAGCATATTGTGTTATATTGAAATAAAGTTAGCAAGCTATATTAACTCCATATAGCCAGGTAATAATAACATCTATATATAACAATACTATGAATCTATAACTAGCTAGTAATACTATCAATATATAACCAGATACTAATATCAATATACAGCTAAGTAGTAATACTATTAATATATAACTAGATACTAATACTATCAATCTACTATATTGGTAATCTAAACTATCTATATTAATAAAAATATCAATATATAACCACATACTAATAGTATATAGCAAGATGTTATTATTAATGTGACAGACCCATCTGTATGACTATTATTTGTCAGTTCGTCTAGTTTGCCTTCCTTTCGTGGAAATTGCCTGTTCCTGTAACCCCATGTGTATGATTGACTTTTTGCCGAATAAATCTACCGAACAGATGGCAACCCAGAATGGAAGTGTGCTGCTGGTTAACCTCTTGATCCCAATTAGAACGTTGTGGTTAACCGCAGACACCTCTTAATTATAACCGAATACAGGGTGGTCGCCGTTCGTATGTCAACCACGAGGCGGCGGCCATTTTAAACCACGCGAAAGACCAGCGGTGTTCGGCATTGATTCTATGGAACTAAAAACGGACACTTTTTCTGCCAAACACCGCTGAAACTACAGACTCCCCTTCTCAGTCGACAAAAGCATGCGAACACCGGCCGTTCGGGAGTTTTGGATTACACGAAGACACTTAACCCATGGAGTCAATCGCATACCGAAAAACTGTAAGGACTTTGACTCCATGGCGATTGAACTGTGCATATGGGATCTGAGCGCTATTCGCTAATAATATGCCTTCAGATCCAGGCCATCTGGGGATACGTTACACGAATGTAATATGTTCGGTAGTTGTGCAATTATTTATTTTCAAGTGTTTCTGGTGTTTTACTTAAAATGGCGATTTGTCTTTGTCCTGGAGATAATTGAATTACTTCTCAATTATCTCCAGGGCAGAGGGGAGGAAACCATGATGCATGGTGGGAATCTATTGTGCCTGTGTGTCTGAAATAGCCATATGTCTGTCTGTCATTACAGTCTCCCATTTGGTCCCCTAGGGGAGTGTCCACCAAGTGGGAGACCGGCATATATATATACGGTCGGGTAGCCCACAGTAAACCCAGTTCTTGTTTTACCCTCAATGCGGAGCTTAGTCTTGTTATTGGGGGAGATTTATTACCGACGGATAGAGACTGATTGCTGTAGCCGAAAGCCGCTTGGAGGATATACTTGTTCGGCGGTTAGCGACGATTCGTGGATTATTGTTCGGGAGTTTGGAGCACTCTTACGGATCCCGTTCGGGAGATTACCGCTTTCCCAAGGTTGTGGTTCGTACCCTGAATTCTATACGAACGGAGATGGCAAGATTGTGAAGGGGAAAGCTCAACTAAACGGCGGTTTCACTCCTAGGTTTCCGGGGTGTCTTAACAATTAATATATAACTAGCTAACAATAATATATAGCCAGATACTAACATTACCCACATATATTGCTAACTAATGATACTACCACTATCCCATTGAACAGCTACGCTACGGAATTTGCTGGTGCTATATAAATAATATAATAATAATATAAGATATTGACTTGCAGTAATAAGCTTTTGTTACAATTTGATTTATTCCAGGGGTCCTCAAACTATGGGCCGCGGGCCGCATCCGGCCCCGCCAGGGTCCTGAACCCAGCCCCAGCACTCAGGGCCACCCGATGGGCCCTATATCTTTAGGGGCCCGGTCAGCGCTGCGGCTGTGCAATAGCGCGACTGGGCCCCTTTAAAAAATTTCAGCCGCAAAGTAGTGCTGGGCGGAAGTGACCATCACTTCCTCCCAGCTCCCTCCGCATTGGAGGGAAGAAAGCCAGGCTGCGAGGAGGGAAGAGCCACGCCGACTCCCATCAGCCACAGCCACCCACCTGCAAACAAAGTAAGAAAAATTAGCTGTGTATGTATGTCAGTGTGTATGTGTCTGTCTGTGTGTATGTATGTCAGTATGTGTTTGTGTGTATGTATTTCAGTGTGTGTGTATGTCAGTATGTGTCTATCTGTATGTCTGTATGTATGGCAGTATGTGTATGTCTGTATGTATGTCAGTATGTGTTTGTGTGTGTATGTCAGTATGTGTATGTATGTGTTTGTATGTCTGTGTGTATGTATGTCAGTATGTGTCTCTCTGTATGTCTGTGTATGTATGTCAGTATGTATGTCTGTGTATCTGTCTGTGTCTGTGTGTATGTATGTCAGTGTGCGTATGTATGTATGTGTGTGTGTGTGTGTGTATGTATGTCAGTGTGTGCATGTCTGTCTGTATGTATTTCTGTATGTGTATGGCTGTGTGTGTGTCTGTCTGTCTATGAATGTCAGTATGTATGTCCTTATGCGTGTTTGTGTCTATATGTATGTTGGTATGTATATGTCTGTGTCTGTTTCAGTATGTATAGGAATTTGTTTAAAAAAATGTCAAACTATAGTCCGGCCCCCAGCAGTGTCTGAGGGACCGTAAACTGGCCCCCTGTTTAAAAAGTTTTATTCTCAGTATGGTGCAGTACCTCACACTGCCACTACCTGTCTGTGGTGCTATTGCAGGCTGCTGCACCCAGAGTGAGATCTCTCTCAGTTCCCAGCTGGCCTTACTTTGTGATTAACATCTACCTATTTAGTTGAGCCTCACCCTTTCTACTTTTGCGAGTTCATTAAAGGTGGAGTCCTCATGC